TTCTAATGAATATTCAGGACTGATTTCCTTTAGGCTGGACTGGTTGGATCTCCTTTCAGTCCAAGTGACTCTCAAGAGTCTTCTCCAACACCACAGTTCAAAAGCATCAATTCTTCAGCGCTCAGCTTTCTTTATTGTTCCACATTGACATCCATACATGACTTCTGGAAAAACCATAGCTTTGACTAGAAGGACCTTTGTTAGAAAAGTGATGTCTCTGCTTTTTAATATGCTATCGAGGTTGCTCCTCCAGTTGTTGTTTGCTCAGTCGTGTCCGACTCTTTTGCAATCCCATGGACTTTCGCCCATCAGCATCCTCTGTCCATGGGATTCTCCAGGAAAGAATACTGGAGTGGGTAGCCATTTCCTTCTTCATGGTCCTCCAGGGAAGTCCCTATTACCATTTTATGTTTAAAGAAACTGAGCCTCAGAGAGGCAAGCGATTGCCCCAAGTCTTCTGTTCTTCAAAAGATGAAGCAAAGGTAAAGGCCCCCTGTGTCTGGACTCCCAGGCAGCCCTTGTCTGTTACACTGTCACTGTCTTAACAGTTGCCTTCATGGTAGTAGTGACGAGGCATGTGCAGACTAACACACCCTGTGCATCCTTCAAGCAGGCGTCCTTTCCCCTGAAGCCTCCCTCCACCGGCTCCTCTGCGCCCTATGGCGTCTGCTGTCTGCATTTCCCCTGGGCCCTTGTTTACATTCCCATCACTCTTGCCCATCGTCTTCACATCATCCAGCCTCCTCAACAAGCTCCTTGAGGCCAGCTGTCATGTCTTATGCTTCTCATATATCCTCCCCAAGGCCTGCGGCAGTGCTGGGCACAGAGATGCGGTGGAATGGCATCCCTTAGCACTTTGTCATTATCATAATTCCAAGCTTTTATGCAGCACTTAACTCTTGCCAGGTACTGCTGCTGTCCGAAGCTTGCTCACATGAACTCATTTCATCCACAGAACCGCCATTTAATGGGTATCCTTCTCCTCCTTCTCACCATACACATGAGAGGTCCGAGATCTAGGGAGGTTAAGTAAATTTTCCATTGTTATGTAGCAAGGGAGTGACCAAGTCAGGAACGCAAGGCCATTTGGCTTCAGCCTTAAGTCTTAAATGCCATGCAGTGGAGGGGTAATGAATGAGCCAGTGCAGGAGACACAAGAGACGCGGGTTCAATCCCGGAAATGGCAAACTGCTCCAGTATTCTTGCCTGAAAAATCCACGGACAGAGGAGCCTGGTGGGAGTTGCAGAGTCGGACAGGACAGAGCGAATGAGCACACAGACACACACTGCCTTCCGTGTGGAGTCCATGCCTGTGCGCTTGTGTCAGCAAACTTGCCGTTGCTGTTCATTCACTAAGTCGTGTCCGACTCTTTGCGACCCGATGGACTGCAGCACACCAGACTTCCCTGTCCTTCACTATCTCCCAGAGTTTGCTCAAGTTCATGTTCATTGAGTCAGTGATGCCATCTAACTATCTCATCCTCTGCCTCCCTCTTCTCCTGATTGAAATCAGGGTCTTAACCAATGAAACGGCTCTTTGCATCAGGTGAAGTATCAAAGCTTCAGCTTCAGCATCAGTCCTTCCCATGAAAGGAAATCCAGCACTGATTTCCTTTACGATTGTCTGGTTTAATCTCTTTACAGTCCAGGGGACTCTCAAGAGTCTTCTCCAGCACAATTCAAAACCATCAAGTTAGCCATTCATTCACTCATAAATTTGCTACTATTTTTTGAGCACCTATTATGTCCAGGGCACAGAGTTAGCGTTCTACCTACACCTCTAATTCTCACATCCGGACTGCAAACTCAGTGCTATTATTATCTCCATTTTATAGTTGAGAGGGGCCAAGTTGCTTCCCCAGGGTTGTACAGCTGGTAAATAGTGGGGCTGGAACTTTAACCCAGGTCTGGTCTGAGTGGTTCCAAAGCCTGAGCTGTTTCTCCTGGTTGTGCTGTATGCACCTTCAATTATTCTCCACACTCAGCCCAGCTGAGAACACAGCACTGAGGGATCTGCTGGCAGGAGGAGCCTCTGCAGTGGAAATGATGATAATAAAGATAATTCTGGGCACGCTACCATTCCAGACCATATGGCCTTGCTAAGCTGACCCCCAGTGGTGGCCATTCTCCAGCACTTTTGAGAAATCAGACAAGAAAATATGAGTGTGGCAAGGTCACAGACGTACTCACAGTGTGCTCATATGTGTGAGAAAGCCCTTTTCTTTATTTCCTATCAGCCAGTTGGAGAGAGAGCTCCCATCCTGTGGGTGATGGGGAAAGGGAGAAACTAAGTTTAGCCTAATATGGTAATCTAGGTTTGAGTCAATAATTTATTTATTTTAAATATCTATTAATTTAATTTAATTCATTTATTTGGCTGTGCTGGGTCTTCGTTGGAACATGTGAACTCTTAGCTGCAGCATGTGGGATCTAGTGCCAGGGATTGAACCCATGCCCTCTGCATTGGGAGGGCAGAGTCTTAGCTACAAAACCACCAGGGAAGTCCCCTGATTCAATAATTTCAACAGCCTTTTAAAGGAACCACACTGTTTCTGGTGGACAAAGTGCTGACCTCTCTGTTTTCTATGTGCCCTCCAGGATGGCAACTATGTGGACGGGCAGTGGTCTGCTTGGCACTGGGAGAAAAGGGCACCTCTGGCCTCAAGCCAGTCTGTGTGTGCGTGGTTTGGCACCTAGCAAGATGGGGTGGTGCGTTCTACCCTAAGTGTTCAGCAGGACTGCTCTGCCAATGGTCGAGGCTGCTAAGCGTCCCGCTCTTTCTCCTCTCCAGCAGGGCTGGGTTGTCCTAGAACTCCGTATAGAACTGGTCCCATCTTGTCTCTTGTTGGTGCTGAGGATCCTCCGAGGTCCTGCCCTGCAGTCTTCCCTGAACCCTCTAAGAAACTCCCCCATCAGACTCACATAGCTTCAGGATAAGCGGAAGCATCCGGGCTCCCCTTCCAGCACCCAGGAGCTCAGAGGTGTGCAGAGATCCAAACTGTCCTCCGTCACCCGGCTGACCTCAGTGCAGCCACCGGCCATCGGGGCAGGAGCAGCCTGGGAGGTGATGACCTTCTCCAGCCCCAGAGGAAAGGAGGACCGGACTCCCCTCTGCTCTGATCGTCTCCTTCCCTCACCTAGCACACCTTTCTCCTTGGGGAGCTCAGCCTGGAGAAAGATCAGCTGAGGGTCTCATTGCCCACCCACTTATCTTCAGCTCCCTTGTCTCCTGAAGGTCCCCGGGACAGGAATGAACGGGATCCCCACGCTGTCTGATGGACGTCCCCTGGGTGAAGCTCTGTGCCTGTGTCCTCCAGGCTCGCCAACAGGTGTGAGCTCGTACTCAGCACCAGACACTGTTGACCTCACGGCTGCTCTAAGAAGGAGGCCCTGGAGCAGCTCCTGGTGCAAATGAAAAGGGCCCAGCATAGAGAAGTTGCCTGCCCAGGGTCACAGTGCATGAGCCACAAATCCCACTGGGTTCTCCAGGGCCCTGGAGACCAAGGGGTCTTTGTTCAGAGTAAATTCACCCTCTCCTTCGTGGGGCTGACACACTCACGGCTCAGCCTTGATGGAGGAAGGCTGCGTGAGAATGCAATTAAGTCAGGAAATTAAAATGCATTGATTTCATATCTGCTAAAGAGCATCCCCATTACAGATTAGATAGGTGTTATAAACTGTAAAGCTCTAAACAAAGGTTAGGGCCATTGTCCTTACTGAGGTGTTCATTTTTATTGGAAAGTTGGAGGAGGTTGTTCTTGTCCAAAGAATGGAATTGGGAGATCTGGGTTCAACTCGAGCCCTGAGACTTTGGGGAAATAACTCCCCTCTCTGAGCCACAGTTTTCTCCCACGATGGAAGTGGCTCTCTAATGCCTGTGAGCTCTAAACTCTACATGCTTCTGCGGGTCACCGAGCAACTGGGGGCCCGCTTGCCAACATCTCCAGACTCAGTCCCCTTAGTGGCTCACAGTAGGCCTGGCCCAGGGATGCTGATGCCAAGAGGCCAGGAGGTTTGGTCCCACAGGGTCACTTGTGCTGAGCCTGGGACAGGGTCCTGGAGGACCCGCAGTCCTCTCCCTGTCCCTCCAGGCAGCAGAGGGCCTCATCCTTCCAGCTCCGCAAGCTGCATCCCTGATGTGCCAACTCCAGTGAGCTGAGGCTGGCATCTGCCATCTGCCCAACAAAGCCTTTCTTGTCCTCTGATTTGACAAGCTTGCTAAGGTCAAGGTTGTTGTCCAGGGGGATGGTGAGGTGACAAGAGGCATTTGCAGTGACAGCCCTCCACGTGGGTTCTGAGGTTTGGCGTGGTCACCTGCAGATGCATCATTTCTTGCAGGGGCATGTGTGGAAATGAACATCCTCTCCCCACCACACACACACACACACACACAGAGATTAAACAGGACAAGACACAGTTCACTAATAGTATCTGTGCATTTATTATTGAACACCCATCATGTAGCAGGTGGTTCTCTGCTCTTCACACTTATGACTCATATAAACCCCAGCCCATTCTTTGAGATGGGTTCTGACATGTACCCTCATTTTACAGATGGAATTCTCTTTCCCAGCCCCTCCCCTCACAGCTGGGCTGCTTGTGTCCCAAGTGTGGACTCTACATCCGTGTTGTCGGGAGAGGGTCAGAGTCCACGCGGGGTGAGAGAGGAAGGTTGTGGGGGTGAAGAGTGCAGGTGGCCCCCATCTCCCCCATTTCTGCACATCCTGGGTGGGACCAGGTTCCCTCACCTGCTCCTCCATGCTTCTCTCCCCACCCCCAGTTTGTTACTTCGGAGACCTGGATGCGCTGCCTTTTATCTCTACCTGGAGTATTCCGAGTTCTAATTAAGTTCATTTCAGCCCTCTGATTTGAGAAGCCTTATCAGGAATACTTAACCTGTGCAAATAATATGAGGAGCCAGCCAGCACGGGCCCCGCATGCTAATAGGACTGCACATAGGAGTGGTGGGAGGGCAGAGGGACCCGAGCAGAGAGGCCACTATGAAGCTCCCGGGAGGAGGGAGTGAGAAAATGGCCCGTCAGAGGACAGGAGAGGAACTGGCCTGGGCCCTCTGTGACCCTCAAAGCCCCGGGCCAGCTGGCAACTGGCCGGCTCGGCAATTGGGGTTTCGTGGATTGGGGTAAGTAAAGAGATGCTGGGTGTCCAGAACTGCCCACCGGCCTGGCCCAGCTTCACAGGTTGTGCTCTGCACCCTGCATGCCTGGCTTCCTGGAGCGCATCTGATGGGCATGGGAGAGGGCCAGCCAAAGATGACCAAGGAAGACAATCTTGACCCCGGAGCAGTGACTTGTCAGGACATTCAGAGGAAGCAAGGATAGGGGGAGGAATGTTGCCAGCTTGGGAACGCCCATCCCTCCTCTGCCAGTAACCTGCTCAGGTGAGGCACCCCCTCTGTTGCCTCTGTGTTCACACCGCGGTTGGACAAGCTGGGGGCTTTGGCCTGTGTCACATGGAGCCCTTGGTTCTCCAGGGCCTCAGGACCATCTGAGGCTGTATGACTGGAGCCCCAACCGCTACGTCTCTTCAATCAAAGTAGCTGCTCTTGATCTGTGATCTATTGGAATGTTTGTAGAAAATAAAACATTATTATGCTTGTGCAAAATGAAGGTTTCTGTAGCTAAAAATCAGTGCAAAGCATGCTTCTGCTGCTGCTAAGTCACTTCAGTCGTGTCTGACTCTGTGCAACCCCCATGGACAGCAGCCCACCAGGCTCCTCCGTCCATGGGATTTTCCAGGCAAGAGTACTGGAGTGGGGTGCCATTGTGTGCAAAGCATGGGGCTAGGTGATTTCTTTGCTTCTTTCCAAGTCTAACAGTCTCAGCTTCTAAAATCTGGACAGGACCCTGGTTCAGTGGTCTCTCTCTCTTCCCAGAGTCATGGGACCCTGGATATATTATATGTCGTTGTTTAGTTGATAAGTCATATCCTACTCTTTTAAGACGCTATGGACTGTAGCCCACCAGGTTCCTCTGTCCACAGAGTTTCCCAGACAAGAATACTGGAGTAGGTTGCCATTTCCTTCTCCAGGGGATCTTCCCAACCCAGGGATCGAACTCACGTCTTGTGCAGTGCAGGTGGATTCTTTACCACTGAGCCACCTGGAGAGCCCACATTACAAGTTACTTCTCAGCAAGGTTTCCCTGGAGTCTGTATAGATGATTCTAAGAGCATCCTGCCTTCCCTCTCACCACACACGTTTCCCAGAGACATTGGCTGAGGTGGTACAGATACAAGAGGGAGAACTAGGGGAAATTCCTTAGAGTCTCTCCTTGGAAATGATCACAGTCTGGGAAATCTGTAACACGTGCTGCCAGAGCCACATCCAGGAATAACCTGAACCTGTGAATGATGAGGGCCTGCAGAGCGGAGGGACATGATGCAGGTGGGGTAATCAGGGAAGACCTCCTGGAAGAAAGGGGCAGGGAAGGGCCAGAATCCACTAAACTGAATGAGTTAAGAGTGTGACAGGAGCATGTCCAAAGGCTGCCCTGCCCCAACAGCTCCTCAGAGCCTGTACAAGATGAGAGCCAAGGCGAGGCAAGCCTGATATACCTGAAATAGGTTGATTTTTCCCATCCTCAGAGGGACTGCGTCCAAACTCCTCTGAGGTCTAAGGCAGGTCACAGTCTGTGTGTTGCTTCTCCTCCGTATGAACATGAAGGGAAAACATGTTCAAACCAGGTTCAGTCTGTCAGACCAGTTCCCCTTACTTAATGAGCCCCGAGAGACAAGTAAGCTTTGATGAAGGTAAGGAGAGAAGGAAAGGGCATGGAGACACGGCCAGGAAAGGGCAAGAAAGAGGGAGGCCAGGCTCAGACAGCGCAGACTGAGGCTAAAGCTTGGCCCCCACACCTCCCACCCACTCTTCACGGCCCACAGCCAAGTAGTCAGCAAGAGGGGACAAGAACGTGACCGCAGAGAGCCATGCTGGGCATCTCCTGTTGCCCCCCCATTTCTGACCCCCACCTCCCCTATCTGCACCCCAGGAGACTGCTCCACAGGGGACTCCTCAATGGGCCCCCTGCTCCCGGGCTTCCAGGGGGGTTTGGTCAATGAATAACACCAGCGAGAGATCAGGGGTGGGAGACTGGGGTGCTCATCTCTCAGGCCCCCCCAGGTGGGGTCACAGCACCTGTCAGGCAGTGGTCCTCCACACAACTCCCTCTGCCTCTGGGTCTTGGTGATTCTGACCTCCCGCTGCCCCTTCAGATCTAGGAGTGGGGATGGCCCAGGATACTAGCCCCCTCTGGTTTCTCTGCATCCTGTCCTTACCTCTAAACGGACCCTTTGTTAAACTCTCTTGAAATTACCCAATTTGAATGTGACCTCTGTTTCCTGCCTGGACCCTGGATGTGATGTGAGTCTCTGCTGCAACCCGAGGCTCTCAGGTCTCAGGGCACTTAATCCACTCACTCTCATCCTGGCTCCATTCCCAAGCCCCAGCCCCACTCCGTCTCTCCGAGGCATTATTTCCAAGATTCAGACTCTGCTCTTTGGGTTTGTACCTGGTAGCTCACTTCTTTGTCAGCCTGTCCCTCTCATTACAGACTCGGGCACGATCCGGTCACATTGAAGAATAAGTACAATGCCAGCGCTTAACTCCTGAAAATGCAGCTTTTCTCCTGAATTTCCTGGGTGTAGGCTTTGTTGAGCTGAACCGGGTTGATCTAGAAATTAAATAAGGATTAAGAAGTTGGAAGGCGCCTGCTAATCCAGCAATCAGACAAACCTATGCAAAATCATCTTGCTTCCTTTCCTAAAATATGAATTTGGAAAAAAAAATCAAACAATTGGCTCTTTTGTTAATTAGAAGATCAGCAAAAGGTGGACCAATCGGGTAAGCATATCCAGGGGGAAGGGAAGAGAAGTGAGGGAGAAGGCCCCCAGAGATCCATGCTAATGGGAGACCCATGCGCCTGGGGGTCTGCAAGGGTGCCTCCTCACCTTCACACCTGGCCTGGACCCCTCATCCTTTCTGGCAGTCTGGATTTCAACCTGACTCCAAAGCTGATCTCTTTAGCTGGTGTCCCCATGATTAGAGGGACTTCCCTGGTGGCTCAGATGGTAAAGAATCTGCGTGCAATGCAGGAGTCACAGGTTCGATCCCTGGGTTGGGAAGATTCCCTGGAGAAGGAAATGGCTACCCACACCAGTATGCTTGCCTGGAAAATTCCATGGACAGGGGAGCTGGCAGGCTAGAGTCTATGGGTCGCAAAGAGTCAGACATGACTGAAGGACTAACGCTTTGCACACTCCATGATTAGAAACTCAGAGTCAACGCCCAATTTTATTTTCTTCTCCCAAATTCACTTCCCAGGAAGACTACACATGAGATACAAGATAGCATGGGAGGATCTACCCTAAAGTAGATTAGTTTAGCTCTGCCATCCAATGCCTGTGTGATCTCAGGTAAGCTGCCCTACCTGTCCCAAACCTCAGCTTTCTCATCCGTGAAATGAGTCTTAGATCATGGAGCTCTTGTGAAGATAAGGAAAATTACCTAACTCTCTGGCATGTGGTAGCTTAAAAATGCTAAGCCCCCTTTCTTTACTTCCCATCCTCCTTCAAAGATAAAACCATTCTTGGGGCTTTTCCCCATTTATATTATTGCAACAGCGTCTGCATTAAGCATTTCCCCTTAGTCCTACCACCTCCCTTCTGCCATTTTCTGGCAGCAAATCCCTCTGTCCTTTGACACTGCCTTTAGGGATTTGTTCTTCCCAGACTCCATCTGCTTTTTGTGGGGTTGTTAACCCCAGGAATCCCTCCAGTGTGTCTCCAAGTCACAAAAATTAGGCCCCCACGCATCCAAGCCACCCAATCAGAATCTTTGAATTGTCTCTTTTTCCTGGTAGTAAATGTAAAGATAAGACCAAAGCACCTGTCAATCATGTGCCCTGTGGATGAGAGCCCTGAGGACAGAATGCAAAGCGGAGAGTCCTGGGGGCTTAAGACCAAACTAGTCACCAAGCTTCCCAGAGCCTTCTCAGTTCTGAGTCCCCTTATCACCTGATTATCCTTACATGTGCGTGCGTGTGTGCACTCAGTCGTGGCCGACTCTCTGCGACCCCATGGACTGTAGCCCTCCGGGCTCCTCTGTCCTTGGGCTTCTCCAGGCGAGAATACTGGAGTAGGTTGCCATTTCCTTCTCCAGGGCATCTTCCCGACCCAGGGATCAAACCCAAGTCTCTCATGCCTCCTGCATTGGCAGGCGGGTTCTTTACCAGCTGAGCCACCAGGGGGGCCCATGAGTCCCCTAATTAGTTCCAATCAGCCTGTTTGTGCCTGAGATAATCAGGGTTGGTTTCCAGTGCTTACAGTCAAAGCCTCTTAACTGGCTTCCCAGAATTCTCTTCTGACCTACTCCTAGCTGTTTCCCACATTTCATGCAGAGCAAACTTCAAAAATCACAAATGCAATCACGTTCCTCCCTATTCACGTGCCCCTGTGGCTTCCTTCTGTTTTAGGATTAAGACCAGAATCTTTCATACAAGCTCTGAAGGCCCCACCACCTTCCCAGACCTTTCCCTTATGAAGGCAGCCCCCCAGTGTTAGCTCTCTCTGTGTTCCAATCACTTCCAGGCCTCTGTTCTCACAACTTGGTCTCAATTTACTCTTCACTTAGAAGACTACTCAAACTTTGCATCTTAGGGAAAGACTCACTTCCTCTGGGATACCCTGCCTAATGTACCTCCATCCGTTCCCCAATTTGGTCAAGCCCCTGTAGCAGGTTCTTCTCACTGTTTGTAATCACTTAATGATTAGTATCATTGCTGCATTAATGTCCATCCCCCTAACCAGACTGCAGGCTGCAGGAGGGCAGGAACCACACTTGTTTCATTTCCTCTAAATCACACCTACTTGGAACGTGTCGGCAGTAGGTGCTCGTCAAAGCTTGTTGAATGAATGAATGAGTGACCCATGTCCAGCCTGTGGCCTAATTTTGGTTCTCTTCATTCAGGAATCTCTCTTTCTGAATGCTTTTCCAGACTCCCTGAAACAACAGTGCGTATGTGCTCAGTCATGTTCGACTCTCCTGCAACCCCATGGACTGTTGCCCTCCAGGCTCCTCTGTCCTTGGAATTTCCCAGGCAAGAATATTGGAGTGGGCTGCCATTT